TTGTTTTAACCATGTAAATGGATTCAGGTTATCCTTTGCAGTAGATACGGGTACAATCTCAAAAACCAAATCTATGGGTACTTTCAGGGACCTGGGATGGCCATCTGTCTCATATGGGTCCAAATGTCAGGCAAGACAGAAGTGTGGGGCCATGTGTAGCTTCCAGCTGGGGCTCCCGTAGGAAGTGAGATTAGAGAGGATTATTCCAACTAGTCTTTGAGCACAGTTTTCTTCTTGGAGAGAGGAGGGGAGATTTGATGAGTTGATTCATTTGTCCTCAATTACACTTGTGAGCCAGGACAGATAGTGCCTCAGAGGCCGTTCTGAAAGAAACTATAGTGATCAAGAAGTTGGTGACGTTCAACACCAGCTGGTGAGAGGGAGGATGAGAAAGAGGAATGGCCAAATTATTCACTACCTTCCCCTCATTGGTTAATTCTCAGGAGAAAGGGGAAAGAGAGGGAAGAGGCTGGTGGGTGGCAGAAACAGAATGCGGAGATTGGAAAGGACTCTTGAGTGTCCATACCAGTGACCAAAGCAAGGTCCTTCCCTTGTACCTTGAGGTCTGTGCAAACATCACAGGCTTTTGGTTCTCAATTACAGTATGTGGAGCACTGGCCAGAGCACTTAATTCAAACAGCCTGGGAGGTCTGAGAATAAATTATAGTACAAGTAGTAGGTTGACTGATCATAGATTTAGTCTACACTTGTATTTTCTATTCAAATCACAGACATTGTATGGATTGTCAGCTAAAAAATAGGGCCCACACTTGCAGCAAGTGGACTTAGGTATTTGTCTAATGTTGACCTCACATTGGGCCCCTTCCTGCTCTTCCTCTGTGCCTGCCACCTCCCTTGCCCAGGGGTCTTCATAATTTGCCTCCCCATCCACATTTCTCTCAACTGAGAATAATGACTCAGGGAGATGTGTGTTTTAATAGGGACCTATTAGTCTGTTAAACCCAAGGAAAGGGGCCACTTGTAGGTGCCTTGGAGGAGACCAGAAAATAGTGTGTATTAGCAACATTCTGTAAACAGACTTGGAAACCCATGTGAGATTGATTTATGTCCTAACCTTTGTCCTTAGAGGCATAATATTATCTTTATTTTTTTACATGCAGTAACAGGCTTGCAGGTTTGTCATATAACAGCCCATGTCTCACAGTGACTAAGGAGCAGAGCCAGGATTCATATGCACATGTGTCTGACTCCAGCAACACAGTCTTTCTTACTGTGTACTACTGCCTCTTATATGGGCAATGTCAGACATAATAAGAGTAAGCAAGGAAAGAAGGGTAAGGGGCAGATTTAACTATATAGGCAGTCATCCTTCCTACCCCATCTGTGTTACTCATGTTTCATCACATAATAAAAATCTGTGTGTTGAATAATTAGTGTCGGGTGAATTAGGTGTTCTGACTCCATTGAAGAGGTCAGATGTGCCTGAGTCTCATACTTGGTCAATATTTTTTCAATGAGTGAATAAGATGTTCTTCATGTTCCTCTGTCCTGCGCTGCCTCCAAGAGAAACAAGCCTAAATGGAGGAGAAGGAGCAGGGGTTTTCAAAAGCACAGTGACTGTGGAGAAAGTCAGCACTCCACTTTGACAACTCCTTGTCTTCAGGGAGACAAAGCCTTGTGGATTCTTCAGGACAGATGACATAGGATTTCATTGGAACATGCTAAGGAACAGGGGCATAAAGTGAACACAGTGTAAGGCAGGCTTTTTTCTGCAGATTTTGTCCAGGGAAATGAGTCCCACTGTGTTGTGTGTCACATGTTTGCAAAAGGCTGTTTTTTAAGTTCTTTAAATTTATAAAAGAAACACCTTTCTTGTGGGATAGATTTATCTATAAATGAGGAGTTTTCCTATTTTAGAGTCAGAGACCGGAGGCTGGGTTTGAAAACTTTTCTAAGTCATTTGGACTAGAGCACATGGTTTCCTAAATGGAGACTTCAGGATTCATGTTCGTACTGACTCTCATTACCACACCAATAGGTTCAGGAAGAAAGCTGGAAGACCTACCCCATTAGATGGGATGAGCTTTGGGTTATTTACAATAGAAGACCAGATTGCTCAGTAATGATGGGCTCTGTGAGCAGTTTGGCTGGGACTGAATTTGGTAGATGGATGGAGAAGAATGTGCTAAGGGTCATTAGTCTCTGACCAGAGAGTTAGAAATTCTCCTTTTATTTAATCTGGATAGTTATCTGTGAAGTAGATGTTACAATCTATTTTAGAGATGAAGACATTGAAAGTAGGGGTTCTATAATTTGTTCAGCCACGGGGCTGCTGATGGCAGAGCCTACATATAAATCCTTTGCTCCTTCAGGTATGCTGTCCATCTCTGATTTGGTGGGGTTTCATTGTCTCTACTGCCCACTCAGAGTTGGAGAGTGTTGGCATCTCGGCTTTGGGGAAAACATAATAAAGGATCGTGGTCCAGCTGGCACAGCCATAAAAGTGAGACCCTATTTGAAAAATAACTGAAGCAAAAAGACCTGGTGTTTTGGCTCAAGTGGTAGAGCAAGTGTAAGGCTTGAGTTTAAGCCCGGCATCAGAAAAACAACAACAAAAACCCCACCTTTTAAAGGCTTTAGATGGAATGAGTCTGAGATCCATCTTAACTCATTTTGCATATAGTATTAGGTAAGCATTGAGGTTCGTTTCTTTCCCTTTGAAGATACCCAGTGTTTCCAGCCTCACTTGTTGAGAAGTGTTTCTTTTTCTCATTGCATTATATTGCTGCTTTTGTTGTAAATCCATTGATTGTCTATGTGTAGATCTCTCTGTTCCATTAATAACTTGTCTTTTGAGGGAACATAGTAGAACAGCTTAACATAATGTAGCTTTATAATTTTTTATCATAAAATGGAAGCTGCATTTGTCAATTTTTTTGATGCTTATTAAAATGTCTGGCTTTTTTCCTTATTTGTTGATGTGGTAACTGTAATTGGTTTTCTTTTGTTAAAATAATTTTGTATTCTTTTTATAGACTGCTGGATTCATTTTACTAGTATGCATTTTAAGATGTTGTGTCTGTGTTGATAAGGTATTTTGGTCTGCAATTTTTTTTATAATGCCCTTAGCAAATTTTGATATCATGACTGTGGTGGCATCATAAAGCAAGCTGTGAAGTGTTTGCTTTTCCTGTGTTCTCTGCACAAGTTTATGTAAGATTGGTGTCATTTCCTCCACAAATGTTTGGTAGAATTCTCCAGTAGAAACCGTCAGAACCTGAAATTTTATTTATGGGGAATGTTTTTATTTGAAGTTTCAATTTATTTAACACATATATGGCTATTTAGATTTTCTGTATCTTCTTTTGTCAGCTTGAGACATTTATATTTTTGAAGGAATTTTTTCATTTCATTTGATTGTCAAATTTGTGGGTATAATATTTCATAATATTATATAACAATTATATGTTATTTCATAAGATGTGGTTCATAATATTTTCATATTATCATCTTTGTGTCCACAGGTCCTGTAGTTATGGCCATCATGTCTGATGACATTAGGTCTTGAAAAAATTAGCTTCCCTTCAGTTTTTTCAGGTTAAACGCTGAGTTTTTCCAAGCAAGGATCAGGCCATTTTCTTTCCACTTCAGGGTATTTGCCTTGCTGTTCCCTCAACCTCAAAAATTGCCATCACATACCCTTATCTTTTCTCAGGCTGCCTGCTGCTCAGTTGTCAGGATTCAGAACTAATGTGAAGTCCTCTCTGATATGCACATCACACAGTATTCCACACACATGGTCCTCAAGGTATACAGTTATGTAACATATGCATACTCTGAGATGCACAGGGAGTCATAAGACAGCTTCTTATGCTTTTCCTTTGCAGAATTTTACCTAAGATATTAAGTAACTACAGTATGATAGAATTTTCTATTGTACCTCTCTTCTATTAACTACAAACTCCATCATGGGGGGACTTGTACAATTCCTATTAGTCACTGAATCATCCTTAGCCAGCACAACGCTCAGCCCGTAATGGATGCTGTACACATCCTGGATGGGTGACAGAACTAATATGGAAAGAAATAAGCTATTTTCTGATAATTTTACCTAATAATTTTAAC